TAGCAACAGCTTAGTTCCTTTCCTGGCTTACCTAAATATTCTCTGCTTTTTCTTTTTTTTTTTTTTTTAATTTTTTATTGTGACTCGAGTGCAATTTTACATAGCAGATTTGTTTTACATTCAACAGTTCATATACGTTTTTTTTTCGTGGCACTGATTACAGTCCCCACAATGTAATAGCTCTTTCCCACCTCTTCCCTGTGACTGTGTCCTCCTTCCTATTCATTCCTACCTGCCTAGCTTTTTCCTAGCTTTCTCCCTGTGCAAATGCTGCTTTTCTGATCTCCCATGGTTGATCTGTTCTTAATGGATTGTTTGGATCTTTGTTATCCTCTGGATCCCTGAGGCTGATGGGGAAGTCCTATGGGGAAGTGTCTAAACTGGTTATTTGCAGCACTTTGCAGCCCCTTGGCTTACCACAAATTGTGTGGTGTAAGTTAAAAACTTAGACTAGAGTTCCTCACCAGTGGGACTTCATGTTGCCTGCTGTCACTTACTCGTTGCTTTCTTGAGCTCTCTGGCCTGATTGACTGAAATCTAGTGCTACTACAACACTGTGATGGTTTAGATGAGGTTCATTGTCCAGTCCAGTCCCCAAACTAAGCCTCGCCCCTGGCCCACTGAGGGCCCTTCTAATACCCCCTTCACCATGTTTCCAGTAGGACCTCCTGTTGACCCAGCCTTGCCCTGTCATGAAGGTGTAGAAGCTGAAATCCTCCAGCCTATGTACTTTGCAAGTCCCTGTTGTTGTTGTTGTTTGCCGTTGAGCTGGACCCGACTCATAGCAACCCCTCCTAGGGTTTCCGAGGTGATATCACTATGGAAGTAGATTGCCCAACCTCCCTTCCGAGGAGTGGCTGGTGGGTTTGAACCACCAGCCTTCTGGTTAGCAGTCAAGTGCCTTAGGTACTGTGCTGCCAGAGCTCCTTTGCAAGTCCCTAGGTAGCACAAATAGTTAGCATGCTTGGCTGCTAATCAAAAGGTTAGCAGTTTGACTCCACTTAGAAGCACCTTAAAAAAAAAAAAAAAAAAAAGGCCTGGTGATCTCCTTCTGAAAAATTAGCTGTTGAAACCCTGTGGAGCACAGTCCTATTCTGATGCACAGGAGGCTCCCAGGAGTTGGAATCAACTCAGTGGTGCTCCCCCACCCCTTGGCCACCATCTTCTTAGTGAGAAGTTGAGTCAAAGACCTGGATCACATCCTGGACATGTCACTTTTACTTGGCTGTGGGATTTTGAGTATGTGACATAAGGAAATGAAGGTTCAGAGAGATTATCTGAAAAGATACAGATATGAAAACAGGGTTGTTTGAAAATTAGATGAGATTATATAGGCCACAGAGCACTTTATATCTGTTAGACAGTGATATACAGATGTCACATTGATCCCAGCAGTTAATGCTCACAGTGGGCCAGACCCTTTGCTAGGCCCTTCACATGCATCTATTAAAACAAAGAGATACCTATTTACTATTTAAGTAAATTAATCTATTTAAATAAATCTACTTACATGAATCCTTAGCAAACTGTGTGCATCACGTATTCCTCCAACCCTTCTAAGGCTCTGGTTTTTACTTATAAAACGTAGACTTTGGGACCTTGCCCCCAAGACTCTTGACTTATTCAGCATCAGAGTTGAGCATGACTCCTTACCACAGGACTACAAAACATGAGTCTCCAATAGTAGATTTGTAGGTGTCATGGGACCCAATAGAGATATTTTTGAATGTGGATCTTTTGGTGTTCTTCTAATTTTGTGGGGTTAACAGTTATCAGTTTTCTTCTAGGAGCAGCACAGCTGGCTTTCAATCTTACACTATTTTCAATTAATAAAGATACAATAATGTCTCTCCCCAAACTACTTCCACTGGAATTTTCAAAAGTTCTGAAAATATTTTTGGGGAATGACTTTTTCCCTGGTGCTCCAATGGGCTCCAGCAGGGCCTCTTCCCCCAGACCCTGGCTGGCGGAAGCAGATCTAATGCAGATGCTGAGTCAGAGAAGCCGTGTCTCCCCATCCATCAATTCTAACTGCATTCAAACATTTTCAATATGTGGGCTCCTTGATCACTTTCACTGTATAGAAAACAAAATGGAGGGAAATGATTATTGGCACAAAAGGGGGAAGCCGTAAATCTTCAAATCAGATATAGGACAGATTGGAACAATATGGGTTCTCCAAGGTTGCCATGATAATGTCCCTAATAACTCTCCTTGGGCAAAAAGGCAATCTGCTTTCAATCAATCTCATTTTTTTTTTTTTTCTCAGGAAAAATACCAATTACATTGAAGGAAGATTTTTTTTCTTCCTTTTTGATAAAGACTGCTCTCCACCCCAGAAATCATGCTGTAGCTAAAAGATGTATTTTCAATTGTCTGGAATAGTATTGGACAGCTAGCACCAAATGAGAAAAGTCAATCCATTTTTTTTTTTCCTCCTTTTTCTTGCCAGCATTTGTCTACTTCTTAGAAGAAGTGAAAGCTAATTAAAGGCTTAAGGGATAATATTGATTGCATTGGAATATATTTTATATGTACCCAGCACATTTCCAGCTAAGAGAACCCTGACTCTTTTTAGGGCTGAATAAATCAGCTGGCTGAGCCTTTGATTCAGGGTGAGAGGGGGAACTCATCTCCTTTCCTTCCACTTCGCATACATCCTTCCCAGGGATGAATGATTTCAGAAGAGGAAGAGTGAATGCTGGCAGATGTTCATTCACTGCTTTGCGTACAGGATAGAAAGGATGAATGTTCAGGCATTTCCTTGGACCTTTCATTGATTTGAGTCTGGCTTTGAATAATAACCAGGCTTATTCTGGTACAGAAATTTGAACTTTGCAATGCCTGCTGTAGTACCAAGAGACTGGCCAAATTTAACCCTCAGTTTCCTCAGCTATTGAATGGGGATGAGTAACTTGCCCAGGATCACACATCCTTTGTGGCAGAATGGGAAATCAGACCTGGGTACCTTTCACATCCAGGTAACAGGAATAACTAACCATATCTATGTCTTGTGTAGGTACCCATTAGCTGGATTCATACGAACCTTGTTTTTAATCTTGGAAGTTTGCAGGCAGAAAACATTAGAATTGTACCAGGCAGCTCTATTGTCATGTGTGGGGTAGTTGGGTAAGGAGGGAAGATCCTGTTTGGCAGTCACTTTCTGAGCACACTGAGCAAATTCACGATGAGAGATCTTAGTTAGAACATGGAAATTCATTTGCAGTCCATTTTGTCCAGAAAAAATGCACATGTACCACAAGAAACATTTTAATATATGGCATGGTAAAAAAAAAAGTATATTATCTCTGTGTTCAATTGACATCGTGTATTCTGATATACAGTGTGTTTCACAGCCACAGGAGGGAGTTAGGCACATGGGTTTCAGGCAAGACATTTGGACGGGCGGCCAGGGGCCCTTCCCTGAACCTTGCAGGTGCAGGTTGGAGAGCAAAGAGATCAAGCTGAAACATCTCTTCTGAAGTAGTCCTCTGACATCCCTCCCTCTTGGTGATGGCCTCTGCTTGCCCGATTGCTAACTGCACCACCGTAACAATAACAGTCCATAATGGTGATATTATTAACTGCTTTGTGCATATTATTGATTTACTCTTTGTTCTGCATGATTATCCTTTCACCAATGAGTTTACTGCATTATTCGCACACACTTAGTCATGCACCAAATTACAACGAAAGGGCAGGCTCTGGTAATGGCACCTAATGGAACATTGCATAAGTGATCATCACTGCCTCCTATTATGAGCTGCCTCCAGCCAGTGAGCACTCTGCCTGGTTGGAATGTGCACAGAGCAATTAGGAATTGCAGGAGACCTGGCCATTCTAAATTCTACCCAGCAAATTGCCGTGCTTCACGTTGCCACCTGCCCAAGTCTCAAAGCTTGGCCAGGGATGCCACCCCCTCACTGCTGGCCTGAGTGGGCTAGAGACCTGGGCTAAGCCCCTTGCTATAGCCTCTTCACAAGAAGCCAGTGAGTTTCATCTCTGTTCAGTCCCCGCGTTTGTCATGGGGCTAACTCTGGCACCAAACAGGCTGTTCAGAATCAGGTAGCAAATATAAGTGGGGACAGTAGCAGCCCAGGGGAAAATCCAGATTGGTCCAGGAGCCCCAAAATGTTGAAGGGGCTTTTGCATTTCTAGAAGAGGGTCTCTCGTGCTTGGGGCAGCCACCATCTCCGGAAAAAGAAGTCCACACCACAGTCTTGAATTCCATCTGCATCCTTTCCTGGCCTCTCCCATCTTGGGGTAAATTCCTTGGGCTCTCTTGGGAATTTTGGCTCCCCAGGAAAGTAGCACTCTCGGGATGCACAGCCTGCTGACATGATCTCCAATTCCATAGGCGTCCCTTCCCCATTTAGTCCTGAGTAATGCTCACTTACTGTAAAGTGGTACATGCCCCCATTGTCAGAGGAGTTATGGCAGAAAAATGCAAAATTTCCTTTTTACTGCTTATGGCCAGCAGAGCCTATAACGTGTCAAGCCACACATTAGCCACCCTGATAAAAGTTCGCTTTCTTACACACAAAATCATCGTTTCAGCAAGATTTGTTATCTCATTACCTGATAAGCTCTATGTCATAAACCAAGACTCATACGGTAAATCTCCTGGGAGGACACTTTGTGGGAAGAAAGGGAGAGAGATGAATCTGCAAGGGGCTTGATAATGCAGCATTTAAGCACAAGCATAATGTCACTTATTGTTAAATGCATAAAACCACTTGGCCAAACGGTTGGGCTTTTAATAGGATTTTGTGCAGCATCAGGTGAGGAGCCATATGCCTTTTCTGTCTAGGAGCATCTGAGCACCTGCTAGCCCCACTGCTTTGCCTCACAGCCCTCCGGGGATGGGAGCTGGGTTTTATGGAGGCTGTGGGAGGTGATGGATGCTTCCCTTGCAGCTGCTGCGCGTCCTCTGTCTTGCCAGGGGTGGGCTGCTGGGGCGTCACTGGGCCCAGCGGATCTAACTGGCCTCTCCCATGCAGGCACATTGTGGTCTGTGGACACATCACTCTGGAGAGTGTTTCCAACTTCCTGAAGGACTTTCTGCACAAGGACCGGGACGATGTCAATGTGGAGATTGTCTTTCTTCACAAGTAAGAGGCTCCTGGTGTTTGTAAGACCTCAACCCGACAATCCACCCAATGGGGGATGACTCCCACAGTCTGTAGGAGTGGGAGTGATGGTAACAGAATTGGGGGCCAGAGAAGAGTTGAATAACATCCTCCCTGCTGGTGTCAGTTGGGGAGAAATATCCAGAACCAATGGAAAGGGAAGCAGTCACTAGCTAAACAAGGAGAGCCAAGGCTGCCCCCGGGGAGGCAGTTCTGGAACCAAGTCTGAGTTCCTCTCTGGGAGAAATAACAGTGGGGTTCATTGCTGGTCATACACATCATTATTGTCCCCTCAGCACCCTGGGTCTTTGTGATCCAGGTGCATCCGTAGCATCTGGACATAAGATAATTAGCTGTGTGGTATGGACAACCTGGAGATGCAGGAGTGAGGTATTGACCACACCAGCCACACACATAAGAGGCAGAGCATAAGGTTGTAACAATTGCCATTTTTAGAAACCTCCAGCATGGGGTGCGATACCTGTCACTATGCACACTGTCTCTCATTTCCTCAGCAAAATGAGGAAAAGCACATGCTCTGGACTCAAATCATTCACTCTGAATCCTGTCTCAACCAAGCAGGGTACATAACCTCCCTGGCATTCAGCCTCCACACCCATAAAATGGGAAAATACTAATGATTGCCACCTCATTGGGCTGATGTGAGAATAAAGAGAAGTAATCCTTGTAACATGTGTAGCTAGGCACACAGTAAGTGTGTAATAAATGTTTACAGTGCCTAAAGCATTTGACTGCTAACTAGAAGGTTGGCAGTTCAAACCCACTAGCCGCTCCGTGGAAGGAAGATGGAGCAATCTACTTCTGTAAAAATTTACCATCTCAGAAGCCCAAATGGGTATCAATTATGAGTTGGAATCAACTTGATGGCAGTGAGTTTGGATTTTAGTTTTTAGTATCATAAAAGGTAAAACATGCTAGGCTGTACAACCAATTTAGGAGGTAAGCCTTATCTTCATTTTACAGATGAGGAAAGCAAGCCATAACCCGTCAACCCAAGGTTATTGAGGTTTGTAGCTTGATCCCCTTATAGGTAAATGGCAGTCTGCTGTGAGACTCTGGGGACTCAGCTATCTTGGCTTGGGGAACTCCATCTTCTTTTACCTATCATGGGGCCTATCCTAGTTCCATGGTGCAAAGGGCCAGGACAAAGTTCAAATGGTGGTGTCAGTTCAACGTAGTATTGGTTCAACATGGTGTTAACTGCCCAGAGTTTGATTCTGCTCAAGGGTGCACTGAGGCTATAGAATCCTACAGCTGACAGCTGACTTAAATACAAGCTTGCCTTTCTCCTGCCATTTGTTCTCAGAATGCCTTGGAATTCCTTGCTGCCCAAACTTCTGACTCGCTTGAGAACTAGCATGTTGCTTCTCAGCACTGACTTCTAGAGAGATAGGCCAGGCTATGATAGCAAAGGAGCAGATACCTATGGGCCCTGTTCAGTAGTTTTCTACTATCAGCCATGGGGCCCATCTTCTGCAGAACATTTCAGAAAGAGAAATACAGTGTAGGTTCTGTCCTCACATGGGTTGGGCAATTGAAGTAGAGCATGTGTGCAACAATTAGAGGACAATGTAAGATCCTGTATAAGCCAGTGAATGGTGAGGTCAATTTAATTAAGTGGCAGAATCAGTTGAGGGCACCAGTATCAGGGAGAGATCAGTGCTGCTTAGTTACCAGGGCAGATTTATCAAAGAGGTAGAGCTTGGAATGGACCCTGGAAGACTGGACGATTTGCATGGGCAGCTGCTTTTCTCTCCCCCACTGCTTTCTAAACTAGCTGGCTGCTTGTTGTTCAGTTGCTGGGATTCACCTTTGTGTCCCCAGCATCTGTCATTGTCAGACTTGTAGTAGATGTCACCATTAATTAACTTCTTTAAGCTTTGAGTTAAAAGCATACCTTGCCCTAGGGTTGTTTTGAGGTTTAAATGAGTTAATACTCACCAAGTGCAGAGCAGTGTCTGCCGCAAAGTAAATACTCGAAAATGTTAATACTTTATCGTTACTGTGTTAGGGCTTTATCGTTACTGTGTAATAAATGCTGGGCAAGTGCTGACTTAGCATTTGGCAAATTAAAAAAAAAAAAAAATGTCCTTGAGTTGATTCTGATTCATGGTGACCCTGTAGGACAGAGTGGAATTGCCCCATAAGGTTTCCAAGTCTATAATCTTTATGGCAGTAGACTGCCACATCTTTCTCCTGCAGAGAGGTTGGTGGGTTCAAATTGCCCACCTTTTGGTTGGCAACTGTGTGCTTTAACCACCATACCACCAGGGTTCCTACTTGGTACTTAGTAGGTTCTAATTAAATACAGATTCCTAGTGCCTAGCACACAGTATGATGTAGAGAGAAGGCTTTTTTTTTTTAATCTATGCACATTTAATTAATGAATAGATAGGTTAGTTTTTTTTAAATCCTTGTTTTCCAATGGGAAACATATGAAGTCCTGTAAGTCAACATGCAGTACACCAGATGTGTGGATCAGGTCTGTGCAAAAACAACACAAAGATAATCCTATCTCAGAGTTGACATTTTTGAGCCAGGCCTTAGGAGATATGAAGTCTGTGAAGAGGAGAAGCAGGGGAAGGGCATTTATGGTAGAGGGAACAGAGGGCCAGCTCTCTTAGGGGACCTTTGGACAATCACTGATGTCATGGTCTCAGTTTCTTGGTTTCTGAACGTAGGACTTCCATTCATAACAAAGTCAGACATTTTGCTCCAGGCTACGGAATGTGTAAAGGTCCTCAGCTGCTCTTACCTGGGTACTGGTTTTGGTATTCATTTGGCCTGAGTCTTACTTCTCTTGAGTGTGAGTCTTGTATTTACGGCAAGAAAGGAGGGGCTGCTTAGAGGGAGAAAGCTCCTTCCAAGTCTCCCTCTGTGGAAAGTAAAGAAGGGAGGTCCTGGAGACAGAAATAACTGAGTCCATTATACTAATGGCTCTTTCTTCTCTCCCTGCACAGCATTTCCCCTAACCTGGAGCTTGAAGCTCTGTTCAAACGACATTTCACTCAGGTGGAATTTTATCAGGGTTCAGTCCTCAATCCACACGATCTTGCAAGAGTCAAGGTAAGGAAGAGGAGGTGACTTCTGCTTTTATTCCATCTTGGGTTGGGGGTTCTGATTCAGTGCTGCAGGGACTTGTCTCCTAGGGCTGGTCAAAAGGCACCTCCTAATTTCCTAATGATATATATCGTTGTTGTTGTTGTTATGTGTCGTCGAGTCAGCCCCGACTCATAGCGACCCCTGCTTGAGTTTCCGAGGCAGCATCACTACGGAAGTTAGATTGCCCAACCTTCCTTCCGAGGCATGGCTGGTGGGTTTGAACTGCCAGCCTCTGGTTAGCAGTCCACCAGTCTTAACATCATCCTTCCACTGGTCCCAGGACTTCATTCTGCTGGCCCATACTAGGCCTCCTACAAGCATTCCACATGTGGGCTGGTCATAACAAGCTACCCAGTGGGTGTTGAGTCAACTCTGACTCCTGACAACCCCACGTGTGTCAGAATAGGACTGTGCTCCACAGGGTTGGCAGTGGCTGATTTTTCAGAAGTAGATCACCAGGCCTCTTCTGAGGAACCTTCAGATGCACTCAAACCTCCAGTCTTTCAATCAGCAGCCAAGCACATTCATCATTTGTACCGCCTAGTTAGAGCATGAACTTATTTTGCTGGTGTCCTCGAGATCTACACCTTCTCAGGAAGTGAGTTTGGATCTTGGTTTTTAGTATCATAAAAGGTAAAACATGCTAGGCTGTACAACCAATTTAGGAGGTAAGCCTTATCTTCATTTTACAGATGAGGAAAGCAAGCTATAACCCCTCAACCCAAGGTTATTGAAGTTTGTAGCTTTGCTTGATCCCCTTATAGGTAAATGGCAGTCTGCTGTGAGAATGGAGAGACTCTGGGGACTCAGCTATCTTGGTGTGGGGAAGTCCATCTTCTTTTATGGAGCTAGGGCTATCATGGAGCCTATCCTAGTGCCATGTTGAAAAGGGTCAAGACAAAGTTGAAATGCTGAGCTCTGGTGGCATAATGCCTAAGGCATTTGACTGCTAACCAGAAGGCTGGCAGTTCAAACCCACCAGACACTCCTTGGAAGGAAGGTTGGGCAATCTACTTCTGTAGAGATGCTGCCTCGGAAACCCAAGAACGGGTCGCTATGAGTTGAATTGACTCAATAGTGGTGAGTTTGGTTGGTTTTTTTGGGGAAAGAGGGCCAATCATATGTGCTCAATCGTCTCAAATACAACATAATCAAGTAAGTCCCATCTTGAATATTAACTTGGGTTCAACAAAGTTCGGACATCTATTATTTACATCTGTAAGGGACATTAAGGATAGATTATAAAATAAATTTTTCATAAGCCATAAAATTTTTTGAGCCTCCTTTTTTCCCTACCAAAGACTCAATGTGCAAAAGCTTAACATGTAGGTATCTGATAGTATTTGGTAATGGGAAAACCTGCCTTTCCAACACTTGCTAAGTTAGAATCTTCTCATAAAGCACACTTGAGGCTTAGAAAGGAAAGGGATACAACAAAATGGCATCTGCTCATTTACTCATTTTATATAGATTTCGGAAGCATATTCAATATTTGCATGCTTGTGAGTATATGGCGTAGTGCCTAAGGAATTTGACTGCTAACCAGAAAGCTGGCGGTTCAAACCCACCAGCCACTCCTTGGAAGGAAGGTTGGGCAATCTACTTCCGTAGTGATACTGCCTCAGAAACCCAAGGAGGGGTTACTGTGAGTGGGATCTGACTCTACGGCAGTGAGTTTGGTTTTGGTTTAGGGTTTAAATGCTAACTGATCATCACATAATTCACTAATAATGTAATTGACAAATATGAATAAGCCAAAGAGTTTGGGTAAATTCTTTGGATTATTAAGGAAAACTAAAAACAATTCTTGATATATACTACATAAGAAACCATGCCCTCTTACCAAAGGCAGGAATGATATATTAAGCACAAAATGCAAAATAGGACAGATTCCTGACCTGAGCCAGTATGCATATTCTTCAGCTTAGTTGTCCAAATAATATTATCCAAACATCATCGAAGTCATGACTAATATGAAATCTTAAGAGAACATAAATTATTGTTTATGGACCTAATTTAAATGCAAGCAGTTACTAGCATTATCAAGTTCATGATCCCCCTTAAAGGATCTTTTGGTTCATATTTAAAGGAGGCTGGGTGGCAAAAAAGGAGCTCTGGTGGCACAGTGCTTAAGGCATTTGACTGCTAACCAGAAGGTTGATAGTTCAAACCCACCAGCCACTCTGCGGAAGGAAGACTGGGAGATCTACTTCTGTAAAGATTTACCGCCTCAGAAACCCAAAGGGGTCACTATGAGTTGGAACTGACTCAATGGCAGTGAGTTTGTTTGCTTGTTTGTTTTTTTGGGGTAGCAAAAGCAGTTCAGGTTCAGCTGCTAACCTAAAAGCTGTCAGTTGGAACCCACCCAGCTGCTCTGCAGGAGAAAGACCTGGTGACCTGCTTCTGTAAAGATTACAGTCCAGAAAACCCTAGAAACAAACAAACAGAAAAAACCCAAACCCACTGCCATGGAGTTGATTCCAACCTGTAGCAACCCCCATTGGGTTTCTATGGTGGTAAATCTTTATGGAGTTAGATTGCCCTGTCTTCCTTCCACGGAGTGGCTGGTGCATTTGAACCATCAACCTTCTGGTTAGCAGTCAGATGCCTTAGGCACTGTGCCACTGGAGCTGCTTAGAACACCCTGTATAGCCATTCTCCTCTGACACATGGTGTCACCTTGAGTTGGAATCAATTTGACAGCAATGAGTTTGGTTTTTTCAGTTTGGCTTTTGTGTAGGTAAGTCAGTAGATTATATTTTGTGATCATCTGTAACATATCATTCCATACACATGTGTTATCTTTTGAATATCTGAATAATCATTGAATATTGAAAACTCTAGAGCTGCTATCTGACTTCATCTTATTCCACAGAAAATGAAGATGTGAAAAAGGTTAGTTATAGGACTTTGAAGTCTAAACGTCTGAATCTCCAACAACTCTGTTAACTTATTAACCTGACAGAAGGGGTTTAGGCTACCTACCTCTGTTTCCCAACTGGGAAAAGTAGGATAATAGAGCAGACCATTGGGAAGTGAGGAGGGGAAGGAACTGAAGGGCTTTATTAATTGTCAGTTAAAGCAATCTAGAAAGCCTACGTAGAAGCAACTATGCCATATGAAAAGTATAATTATCAAGGTACATGTTGTACCCTCCAGCAGCAGCAGGATGAAATGTTTATACCATAACAAGTATTTTCAGCCTACACTTTTGACAAAAACTACAATCTCTCAGGGTTATTTATTTATTTTTTCTTTCCATCGCAAAGCACCAGGTTCTCCTAGAGCTGTCAACAGAGAAAGACTGCAACCAAGCACTGCTATTTATGTTGTTTGTGTTTGTGATTTTCCTTTTGGTGTCTTAGATAGAGTCAGCAGATGCGTGCCTCATCCTTGCCAATAAGTACTGCGCTGACCCAGATGCAGAAGATGCCTCCAACATCATGAGGTAACCTTGGGAAGACTGGAGAGGGCCTTGGGCTTGGCATTCTGTTGTCTACTCTTTGGGTCCTCCACCAAGGACCATCTCTGCAGAACCTTCCTTCCCCCATAAGCCATGTCACGGCTTGCCACTTGCATATCCTCAGGGGAACCAAGGCTGTGGTGGGTGAAAAGGGCACTGACATAGGATGCCGTCAACTGGAAGCACACCTTTAACAGATAGAAACTCTGAGCTCACAATTAGTATGGGATTTCAGATACCTTGAGATAGACGTAGAAAAGGAAACACAGACTGAGATGAGTCCAGGCCTGAGTTAAATCACCATGTTCCCTAAGAGGGAGTGGAACTGAGACCACATCTGGAGTGATTTTGCCCCACTGGGACATTTGACAGTCAGGACATTTTTGGTTGTCACAACTCAGGAAGATCCTACTAGCATCTAGTGAGTAGAGACCAGGAATGCTGCTAAACCTCCCACAATGCACAGGACAGCTCCCCACAGCAGAGAATTACTTGGCTCAAAATGCTAATAATGCCCAGGTGGAGAAACCCAGTGTTAGGGCTTTCCCAAGTGTGTCTACAACCTGTTGATTAGTATATCCCCACCTCCACCCGCCAAAAGACTTAATTGATCAATAAACTTGTTTAAACCAAACCCACTTCCTTGAGTCGATTTTGCCTCATAGTGATGGTCTAAGACAGTGTAGAGCTGTCCCCGTTGGGTTTCTAAGGCTATAAACTTTACAGAAGCAGATTGTCACATCTTTCTCCTGTGAGGTGGCTGGTGGGTTTGAACTGCCAACCTTTCAGCTAGGAGCCAAGCGTCTAATCACTAGGCCACCAGGGCTCTTACTTGAATGAGCGTCCCCAAATTTAATCATTTTCTTCACTGAAGGCTTTCTCAGTACTTTTCAGTTTTTCTTTTTCAGTGCTAATATGAATTTCAAATACAATTTTCAACAGAGAATTTCTGAAAGCTATATTGACTGTTAACCAGAAGGTTGGCAGTTCAAACCAGCCACTCCTCGGAAGGAAGATGGGGCAGTTTACTTCCATAGTGATAATGCCTCAGAAACCCAAGGAGGGGTTGCTATGAGTCTGGTCCGACTTGACGGCACATAACAACAACAACAACAACAGGACTATAAGCCCTCTCCCACTTCCTTTTTTTTTTTTTTTAAACAGAACATCTTCTGCAGGGACAGTCTGGAAAACACTGCCCTGTGCCTTTCTGGCAAATGGGTTAGGTCCATCTCATGAAATGTCCGCTCAAACTCCAACGTCTTATTCTTTTCTCGTTTCGGAAGAAAATTGTTCAGTTTTTGTTCCATTCGTAGACCTATGTTTCAGATATCATGTGACTATGAAATGACCAAAGAGTTAAGACATTTTGCTCCAGTTAGTTAAAGTCCTTTTGGAATCCCTTTCTTCTCTAGCATGAGTTGCAGTGTAGTTAAGAGAACAGGAAGGGCTCTAATAGAAGATTCTGGAGAGGAGATAAACTAAAAGATTTCACTACCACCATATTCCTAGGAACTCTTGCCTAATTGTGAACAGCAGTCCTTTTGGTCTTTACAGAGATTCCTGATCCCTCCAACTTCTTTATGGTATCTGGGGAATTTACCTGAGGTTGAGGGTTGGGAAGTTGCCTTTGAATCATTGCAACCTTGCAAACTCCTTTGCCTTTGCTTTTAATCAGTGACCCCTGAGTGACAGAGCTTTCTTTCCCATCAGTGAGGTGGGAGAATTCCTCCAGTGTATTTCAGAGGAACAAGTACTCCCAGCAGCATCTGGTCCTTGGGTCTGGTAGGCAACATCTGACACAGTGGTCTCTTCCTACCTGCTTTTCTTAGGCAATATGCATAACCATAAACCAAACTCAGTGCTGTCCAGTCGATTGCAATTCATAGCTACGCTCTAGGACAGAGCAGAACTACCCCATCAGGTTTCCAAGGCTGTGATCTTTCCAGAAGCAGACTGTCACATCTTTCTTCTGCAGAGAGGCTGGTGGGTTCAAACCACTGATCTTTCAGTTAGCAGCCAAGTGCTTAACCACTGCACCACCAGAGAAGTCATTTCAAGGAACTTGATGCATAAGCTCTATTTAGTATTGGGCTTACCAGGCTGCAGAGAGTGATGGGTTGGGGTCTGCCTTCATACTTCAGCCTTGTGCAAAGCCATCCATTCCCTAAGTATTCACAGCTGGAAAATTACTGTTGTTATTGTTATGTGCTGTTGAGTCGGCCCCGACTCATAGCGACCCCTCCTTGGGTTTCTGAGGCAGTATCACTACGGAAGTAGGATTGCCCAACCTTCCTTCTGAGGAGTGGCTGGTGGGTTTGAACCGCCAACCTTCTGGTTAGCAGTCAAGTGCTTTAGCCACTATGCTAAACTTGGGGTGTGTTGTCTGCCCTTTCCTTGAACTAGGATTTCCATCCTTCAACCATGAAAGATTTCTGCCATCAGAGCTAGTTGAGGTGATAAGAAGGTAGCCTTCAAGAAACCAGGTGGCTTTATCTTCAGGTTTTCAAATAAAAAACTGAAAGATGATGAATCTGAAACTTTTGGGCTCACAAAGAAGTTGGGACTTTTCTCCAAAGTGAATAATAGAAGTGAAGGATAGTTTTGAAATGGATATTTATTTTAATCACAATATTTGATTTAAACGTTGACTGTGGAATGTTAATGTGAAGACATATAGATACAAGGATGATTGGCATGATGCCAAGGCATAAAAATGCCTGAACAAAAGAAGTATCCAACATATAATTAAGTCAATCATTAACCAGAAACAGAACTAAGGCTAGAGAGCGAAAGGAAATGGGAAACTCGGGGTTAAAAATCAATTCTGTCTTCCCCTTATTTATATAATCCTTCTTTCTCCTTAGTTTAATGAGACCAATCTGCCCCCTTTCAAGTGAAAATGTCAAAGATCCATTTGCAGTGAGCAAATGCAGAGAATTGGCTGATGTGCGCTGAATTCTAAGGGTGACGGGCCTACAGTCCTTGAGTTATAGGCACGGGCCAATGCAACACTTTTTCAAAAGTAAAATGAAATCCTTCAAGTGCAAAAGCCCGGGGTGAGTTGGTGTAGGTAGAGCTTCAGAACAATCCATTTCCCAAAGTCACACGTTGCAGCTTTTCCAACAAAGCTGCTCCCTTGCTTCCTCCCCTTCATCTCTGCTCAAAGAGGGATGATGGTGACGTGTAGAGTGAGTCTTGGTGGGAAATTTGTGGGGGCAGTCATAATAAATGCACTTGCATTTCTGATTAGGCTTAGAGGGTGGGCCTTTGTGTGGAATTCCATTCTTCAGCCTTTCTTGTCACAGAAGGAAATGTACAATGTCACCTCTGACAGAGTTGGTAATGAGAAAAACCATCACTTACATGTGGAGAGAGGTTTTAATGATTTCAAAGCATTTTCACATCTGGTTTCCCATTTGCTGTTCATACCAAGCCTGTGAAGTAAATAAAGCAGGTACTGCTGTCCCTGATGTCCAGATGAGGAAATAGGCACAGAGAACCCAGGGATTTCCTGAAGGTCACCCAGTTCGTTAGTATAGTACCTGGAACGAGGATCCAGGTGTTTCCATTCTGTCTCTTCCCTGCCCCTTTCCACAGTGATAGACATGGAAACAGAAGTGAGGGTGGTTAATTGAGTACAGTTTTAGAGCAGTTTGGGGGTGGAGTAATTTCCCACCAGATCTTGACCTCTGCAAAGCCTTCATCTTTCTCTCTGTCCAGTGTAAAGTCATCATTCAGACTCGGAGCTGTTGAAGGCTGAGTAGTTGATGTCATTTGAAGAGGACTGCTTAGAAATTATGTGAGAGTAGCCGAGTGTGTGTGACAACAAGAATAATTTGTCATGCTGCTGGTTTGATTGGTCATTGTCATCTTAAGTTGTTAGCTTGGAGAATTTGATGTCAGAGAGGGTTGTTTCTAGGCTAATCCCTAGGGTATGAGAGATTGCAACCTTGGAGATGCCAGTATTTCAGCGGGCTTTAGATGCTAACCAAAAGGCTGGTGGTTGGAACCAATGGCTTCATGGGAGAAAGGTGAAGCAATCTGCTTCTGTAAAGATTTATATGCTTGGAAACCCTTGGGGCAGTTCTACTCTGTCCTATAGCGCCTCTGTGAGTCTGAATTGACTCGATGGCAGTGGGTTGCGATAGATCGGTGCCTGTATAAGGAATAAGCCCAGGAATCCTGCTCCAGAACCCCACCTCCTGCCCAGTGCACACACATACACACACACATACACACACATACACACACATATGTGTGTGTATGTGTGTGTATATACACACACACACACATATATACCAAAGCATCATGGAGACCCTCCTTCGTTTTAGGCCCAGGGCAGTGTCTCTGGCTGTTTTGTGATTTCTTCTTCATAAGTATGGAATAGGGAGATAGAAACACAGTTTAACTTGGCTTCATGCCTGCAACTTTTCTGGATGTCCCTGACTGTTGGCCCCACCTTCCCCCCACTTGGAGGTCATCAAAGTAATCTTCGCATCAGAGAAGCCATGAGTAAGGCAGGCCTTGCCTCAGCTTTGGTTCTTTCTTTTTCCAGGGTAATCTCCATTAAGAACTACCATCCGAAGATCAGAATCATCACTCAGATGCTGCAGTATCACAACAAGGTAAGACAGTAAGAGCCTGTCACAGGCCTAAAGATGCAAATGTGGGTCCAGCCTCTTCTCCCTCACTGCAGAGACACGTACATGCATGCACACAAAAATCCACACATTCACGTGTGTTTGTGTGTGCATACATGCACACACACAGAGATGAAATTCAAAAGCCTGGATACAGAGCTATAGTGGGTAGAAAGTTCCCTAGGACATCTCTTCAGTCCAGACAACTAGTTTTTAGTTGGTCACTGGCAGGAAACTCCTGATTCTAATACTCAGGATAACCTTGTTGGATCCCTAGGTTCAGATATATTGATGTATCCTTTAGGTCCCATCCAGAATAAAATGCCAGCAACTTCCCTTTTGATGTGCTCAGTCATCTCTTCCTTCAACATTAATTGGATACCTAGCATTTAGGTTTCACTCTAGCAGGTACCACCACAGACAGAAGTGAAGGAGAGGCCCTAGTTTGTGCCTACAGAGATCTAACAGTTAAATTGTAGAAAGTGAGGTGACATCTGTATCTGAGACCAGGTGAACTTGAAGGCAGGTAATGTACCCTAGGTGGAGAATGTGGAGAACATGGTATTCTCACATTCAAGTGAGGATTCGCACAGTTGAATTTAGGAAAATAGTTGTTGATCCAGAGATTGAATTTAAGGGAATTTTCCTAGTGTTACAGCTTCATTTGGGGGATTGGAAAGAAAATCAATGTCAGAGTCCATACCGTTTCCTTTGTGATTGGCTTCTCAGGAAACTGGAGTTCAGTCTTTCATCTAAAGGCAATGCCTTTTCTCTGACCCAGTCAGTACACTCCCAGGCAAACAGCTTTGGGGGAGGGAAGGTGGCACCTTTTTCTGTTTGCTATGGAGCTGGTTATCTCCTTAATGAGGCTTAGAAACTGGAGGCTGCTCAGTACCTGGAGCCAGGTGTCCTGCATGAACAAAATAACTCCCTGCTGGGTTATGAGTGAGCATGTGCCCCAGCTTATCAGCCATATTCCCTACAAAATAAGCATTCAGGTGACCCAGAGAAGACCCCACCCCCACCCCTTCTGCCAAATGCACCAGCTTTGTGCCATTATTTCTTAATTGCTGGCAAATGCTGACCTATTTTGCTGTGTGGAGGCACACTAGAGGCCATCATTGAGTGGAACCTGCTGTCAGTAACTGGCCCACCACTTGGAATGGCTGCCCACTGTCACCATTACCCCACCCTTAGCAGGTGGCTCCCTTGCAGAACATGGTATTCTCCAGGCAGTGGGCTTGGTGGTGGGCACCCAAGGTCACATTCTCCTGTTTACCTCTTGGAAATTCAAGGACACTGAAGAGATAAAGTGAGAATATTGATAACTTACAAGCTTCAATGCAAAGAAGTATTTTTGATGGCAGCCCCTTTAGGTGGAAGTGAATTATAATAGCAAAACTGTGGCTAGTGACAGCTCTTGAGGCAACAAGTTCTCCTTTCATTTTTAAGTTGACATTTCACTTGGTGTGAGGGTGCTTAAAGCTGCTGTTTACATTTTTAGCTGACTTTAGATTGAGTAGGAAAATAAATGTAATGTTTAGAAAGAGATGTCGGTTCCTTTTTTTATTCTTCAAGAAATTTAGGAGGATTTTTAACTCTGATTCTAGTTAAACTCCAAGTAGCTCAACCAGCCTAGGATCCAGGCAGTATTTGGTTAGCGTTACCATGATCATATCAACCTGAATGTCTTCTCTAAAACTCTGCATTGTAATTCTTCAGAAACAATGATGAAAACGTCCATCTAAACAAATCATTCTTAGAAGTCATCCATGATGACTTGCTTAAAACTTATTTTGTTTAGAACCATCCAAATCTACTTTGCCCACGTAAAATTAATAAGGCGGTGGTTGTTGTTGTTGTTATGTGCCGTCGAGTCGGACTCGACTCATAGCGACCCCTCCTTGGGTTTCCGAGGTAGTATCACTATGGAAGTAGATTGCCCCATCTTCCTTCCGAGGAGATGACTAAAGTGCACTTGCTTAAGCCATAGTCTGTGCAGTTGCTTCATATGCTTGTGAAAGCTGGACAATGAAAAAGGAAGACAGCAAAAGACTTGATGCATTTCCACTGTGATTTTGGTGAAGAAGATTAAATATACTGTGAACTTCCAAAACAATGAACAAATCATTCTTGGAAGAAACACAACCTGAATGGTCCTTAGAAGTGAGGATGATAAGACTTTGGATTATTTACTTTGGACATGTCATTAGGAAAGACCAACCACTAGGATGTACCTATCATGTTTGGTAAAGTGGAAGGTCAGCAAAAATGAGAGAAACAGCCAGTGAGATGGATTGACACAATAGCTGCAACCAGGGATGCAGACATGCCAACAATCATGAAGATGGCACAGGACCAGGCAGCGTCTTGTTCTGTTATACGTAAGGTCTCTGTGAATCAGAGCTGACTTGCTAGCACCTAACAACAGCAACAAGGGGAATCTTTCTCTGTCATTCCATTGAATGGAACTAAAGGCTATTTATCATCTTCTGGAGAAAGAATAGAAAGTACCCTGGTTACTGTTTGACATCTCATTCCTAGCAGAAATCAGAATGCATGCTCTTATTCTGCTTCACAGTTTTGTACTATTTTCTAAGATGCTCCCACTTACTTTTTCAACATTTTTTTTTTCCTTCTCTCTTTCAACATTTTTATTTCCTCTCTTGGTACTTTCTCTTCACCTGTAACTAGATACCCAGAGACTTTCACCCATTAAAAGTTGCTATCAGGAAAGAACCTGCATGTGTGTGTAAAATTAAGTTACTATGACTATATTCCAAGAAATAAGTTTATTCCACAATTGCATATTGGGCTTAAAATAAAAAGAATTTCAATCCCCTGTGACTTAATGATGGTGTATTCTAGGGCCTAAAGGGACATAGAGAAGCTGCCTGCCTTCCCTCCATGTAAAACTGGCTCTGAGTTTGTCATCATAATAATTGCAGACATTTGTGTCATATTTTATGGTTTTTAAAGAGCTTTGACATCCATTATCTCATTTAGTCCTCATTTGACCATCTGTGCATTTTAGCATCCCAGTGTGACTTCAGACCATGGGATCTAAGCTCTGTCACAGACAGAGCAGCCCTGATGGGCGCAAATCATGGTCACTCAGCAGCCAACGAACTAAGAGAGATGCCAACTGCCACCTTCTCTATAAATAGAGTCATAGCCCTTAGAACCAAACTGTGTTTTTTCAGAGCAACCTTATAGAAGGACTGGCGTTTTGCAAAGTATTATTATTATTTTTTAAATATCAATAGACTTCGTGAAAGAAGGCTCAGTGGAATAGCAATTAAGCACTTGGCTGCTAACTGACAGGTTGGTAGTTCAAACCCACTCTGCAGCTCTGCAGGAGAAAGACTTCGCAATCTGCTTCAGTAAAGATTATAGCCAAGAAAACCCTATGAGGCAGTTCTCCTCTCTCACATGAGGTCACTGAGTCAGAATCAACTCTATAGCACCCAACAACAACAGACTTGGTGAAGAGGAACACTGTCAGCCTGGCCATCTCTGAACATGGAAGAAAGATGGTGCGAGCATTTTCTGATTTGACTGTCAATGGCTTGAAGCTCTTCAAGAATAGTTTATGACATCTTGGAGTCACTCCTGATGATTTAGCTATTTATGAGTTTTTCAATTTCCTAGTAGACTCTAGTACAAGAGGCCTGTGTCTCTGACCTGGAACTCAAGTCCCAGTGTCCAACGGAAATCCAAGTTATTTGAATTTTCTTTCACTGAACCCTTACACTTGGATAAAACCAAATCAAAGCCACTGTCTGTGAGTCAATTTTAACTCACAGTGACCTGATGTGTGACAGAGTAGAACTGTTTTATAAGGTTCTTGGTTATAATCTTTACAGAAGTAGATTGCCAGGCCTTTCTTCTGTGCTGCTGCTGAGTGGGTTTGAACCACCAAACTTTAGGTTAGTAGTCAAGCACGAACCATTTGTACCATTCAGGGAACTTTACACTTGGATACTAGTGTAAAAATGTCTCCTGTTAAATGACCTTCTTTGATTCTGTGGTGGCTTCCCCAAAGTTTTATGTGTAGTGAAGGATGGAGCTGGGACTGGAACCCTTCTCTCCTGGTTTCCCAGGACAGCCTGTTTTCACGTTCTTTCTCAGTGAGGTGAGGAGAAGGTTCAGTAGTGGGGAAGCTCTAGTCCTGCCAGACCTGTGTTTTATATTCTTCAAAGTAGAAATGATTTGCTTCCAGATTCTGGAATCTTCTGCCAGATCCATATTTTCCTCAAATGACAAAGGATAAGGTTGACAGTAACAAAGATTTTAAGTTCTTTGGTGGTTCTCCTCTCTTTGTGTCATGCACACAGACCTCCCTCCAAGTTTTTGGCACATTCACTCCCTGCTCCCTACCTGGTGATTGGAGAAAATATAATAGCCAAAAAGGAGGCCATCGAAGCCTAAGAAATGAAACCAACTTTACTTGATTGTTCCATGTATGACATGTAATAAATATCTTTAAAAAACTCACACTAGCTGGGGACACGAAAAACTCAAGGCCTAAAAGCCTGGACTCCATACTGCAAAGATGTGTGAGACCCTCTTAAACAAAAGTTTTGTTTGTTGGTTGATTGGCTTTAAGGTGCTGTAAAGGTTGTGTGGTGTCTGTCTTGACTTTCAACCATCCAAATTTCCTTTCACACTACATGGTTTACTTGTTCATTACTTAGATTTAATTTCTTCTCTTTGTTCTCAGATGATGTTAATGCAAATCACTATTTATCCACTTAAACTGATATATCTCCTAGACTTACAGGGAAGTAAAAGGGAAAAAGTAGCTTTCTTAAGCCAATGAAGAGTAGGGAAAGAAATGGGATAAAGGGTAGGGATTGTTGGAATTGAGTACATGATGGAAAGGTTGTCTAATACTCAGCTTATAGAAATTTCTGTCTACTATGGTCCACTGCTATGGAGCTCTGGTGGTGCAGTACCTAAGGCATTTGACTGCTAACCAGAAGGTTGGTGGCTTCCCACTCAGTGGAAGCACGACTGGGCAATCTACTTCCATAAAGATTTACCACCTCAGAAACCCAATGGGGGTCACTATGAGTTGGAATCAACTCGATGGCAGTGGAATTGGTTTTTTGGTATGGTCCACACATGAGTCTGTTTTAACCATGCCCCCATTATGTAGGATACAATTATCTTTCCTGAGAGTCAACTTGTGAGTTAGCACTCAAAAGATTTTCACAGAAGTAGATTTTGCAAGAAGAAATTTCACATGAGTGCTATTTCTAAAGTAGAGCACTAACCATTAGACTTGATCTTGGCTTCTACAATGGAGTTTTCCATCACCTTCTACTAAAACTACTATATATTGTCCCAAAAGTGAACAGGAAGCGCTTTTGGTGCTCTCCTGAGACTTGGGGATAAATAATAATGTCAAGGCATTAGAATCTTGGCATTAGTGGAGAACTAGAAGGGCTGTCAAGGAGCTCTGGTGGCAGAGTGGTTAAGGCATTTAGCTGCTAGCCAAAATGTTGGTGGTTAGAACCCATCAGCCACTCCACAGAGGAAGAGTGAGGCTGTTTGCTTCTGTAAAGATTGACAGCCTTGGAAACCCTATGGGTCAGTTCTAATCTGTCTAATAGGGATGCTATAAGTCAGAATCAACTTGATGGCCATGGGTTAGAAGGGCTATTTGTTTCAACCTCCCATACAAAAGCTGCTTTTTTCAGAGACTTGGAGGAATAGAATCCTGAGTTTCAGGGACAAGAATCTTGCATTTTTAGGAGACATCCATCTCCATTTATTGGACAAATTGTATTCTTAGAGAGTTCCTTTATGTAGCAAGCCAAAAAACTGCTTGCTTGCAATATGTACTAGTCAGTCTTAATTCTGGCCTCTAGAACAAGGCAGGGCAGGAATCATCCCTGTTTAACATGGCAGCACCTGAGGTGTTCAGAAATAACTGTAGTGTCTCCATGAAGGCGTTCCTTCTTGCTGGCTCACTTAATTGGTCCTCAGAAGATGTTTCTAGAACTTTCACCTTATAATTTTTCTCTGGAAGTTATTCAATTTTTCATTTTCCCTCTTTAAATCTGACTGTTAAAACCAGATCAACTACTCTGGAACTAGCCTGTCTAGTTTATTTCCCTTGATTGGCAAGCCATTTCTAAGGAGAAAGCATTAGCTTTCTTTGAAATGCGTCACTAGATTGGCCTCTATTGGGAGGTCTTAGTTACACGATTACTGCTTGGTTTTCTTCCCCTGTTGGTTTTCTGATACTGCTGGGTTGTTTTTGTTTTGCTTTTTAAAATAATACCTGATTAGGTTTTGCTTTGCTTCTTTTTTTCCAACGTCTTTTGTCAAGTTAAGTCTTCTTATTTTGAATTTATATAATTGATTTTTTTGAACCTAAATGCTGTATTTGACTTTAAGAAATTTAAAACTTTTCTGGTTGTTTTTTTTCCTCATTTTCCTAACTCTGGAGAACTTTTTGAATCTTGATTCTTTTATTCTATTATCTCTGATTTTTTGTTTCATGCTACTTAAAAATAATTGGAGGTGCAGGCCTTCCATATCCTTGTCTCAGAGTTTGGCCTAACTGCTGAATAGGACTGGGCCATCTGCAATAGACTGTAATCATAGGTGTAAAACACCTAGGATTTTCCTGATAGTCATCGTAGGGCAGTGGTTTGCAAAGTCTAGTCCCAGAGCAGCAGCAGCAGCAGCAGCATCACCTAGAACGTGTTAGCAATGCCCCTTCTCCAGCCTCACCCCATACCTGGGGTGGGCCCAGCAACCTTTGCTTTTATAAACCTTGCAGGTGATTCTGATGGCCTCTCAAGTTGGAGGGCCACTGATCTAGGGTGAAAGTGAAAAGGAAACATCAAATCCATAGGCATCTGATAGTCTTGCAGTCTGTTCGAGGAGCCAGTTTATGAACAACCTGAGCAGACATCCTAGTAACAAGGGCTGATCTCCCTGTCGTAAGAGGAAATTCCCTCTGGGCTCTGACTTCATGACAAACCTGAGGGAAGCACTTGGGCTTGATAGGTACAGAAGCACTGTTCTAGAGGGACTGAAGCATGAGGAATAGAAGAGTTGAATCAAACACCAGACCAGGCAAAGAAAGGACAAGTTGGAGTAACCCTGGGCCATTGGGTAGTGCTGAATTCCCCAGAGATTTTAAACAATTGACATTTACAAAAGCAAGGTCCCATACCTGTTTTTGTTTCCACAGGCGCATCTGCTAAACATCCCGAGCTGGAATTGGAAAGAAGGGGATGATGCAATCTGCCTTGCAGAGCTGAAGCTGGGTTTCATAGCCCAGAGCTGCCTGGCTCAAGGCCTCTCCACGATGCTCGCCAACCTCTTCTCCATGAGGTCATTCATAAAGGTAACGTCTTGTCTTATTAGAGCACATTAGCTTGGGATTCAATTTGTCGTGGGGTTGAGTAGAGAGCACAGCTTAAACTCAAAACAGATCGCTGTGTTTTAACCACTTTGGTTAAGGAGAAATTCCTTGTTACAGATTTGGGCACAAGGCCAGCTTCTTTCAAAATTATGTTTTTATTTTTATTTGGCACATCCATGGCCATTAAATGATTGTTCAAAGCGCAGTCCTCTCTTTTTTTAGATAAACCACATGTTTATCTATCAACAAAGCCTCCGCTGTTAAAACAAAAATATGATTTATATACATTCCATATGGCACTGGAGCGCCTAAAGAAAAGAATTATCATTTTGCTCTTTTACATCAAGTGGCTGGTGGACCTCTCACTGTGAGGATAAATGCAGACCATGTGTTTGTACTGAAGCCCAAACCCCAACAACTTAATTCATTTATTTATTTCTGCACAATCAAGGAGGCCAGCAGGGCTGACATGCCATGGTTATTTGAATGGAGAGTGAAATGATGAACTGACTTCTCGGCAGCGGTGCCCTTGACACCAGGAGACAGGCGGTCTAGATATGTTCGTCCCCTTATCTGCCGTGTTCCCCACAGAACTGACAGGATAGCCACTCCAAAGCCCTCAAAGTGATCACTGCCCAGTGGACCAATTTGGCAAGGAGACGAAGGCCTCTCTGTTCTCACAGGCCAGGCCAGGCTTGCGTTTCCAGGCATTGACTGGGAGTCCATGCCTCTACAAAAAAAGCTTCTGGAGGGCAGGGTGACAATAACACCAGTCTTTATCCTTGCCTTATTCCTAGTCTAGGCAGACAACATGGCAAACCAGAACAGTAAAACTGACTAGGGTGGGCTTTTCTGATTTGATGGCAGTTAGCTCAGGTTCTGGATTTATATTCCTCTTCCTGTTATCAGATAGGCTGCCAAATGAGTAACATTCAGCGCTGGGGAGTTAGTAAGTCACCATGAGGTCCCACAAAGGGGGCCAGAAGCTCTGCCAGCAGAGGCATGAGACCTCCGGACTTTGCTGTCTTTGCTGCCATATCCACTTCTAGCAATAAGTTATTTTGTGGCACGGAGGAAGTGGGCCTGGTCGGAGTGAGAGGGATGGGTGAAAGGACGGGGTGAAAATGATTGACTTAGTCTGTGTAAGCGCTCACCCTGGGGATCCACCAGGTATGTTACTCACAGCAGGATCTTTTTTTTTTTTTTTTTTAAGATCTAACACTGTACCCTTTTTACTTACCTTATTTAAATTATTTAGCCAATGGATAGTTCACATTGCTCTATGTAAAAGGACAAATTGTCTTGAAGCACTTTCAGTCACTTTAGTTATGCTCATAGCTACTGACACCTTGATTTTTAAAAATCTTGCTCTCATACTCCTTATATGCCCAAAGACCTCAATTCAACAGAGCTCCCAGCTCAGATCCAGCTTACAAATGTGTGGATGTTGCTTTCCCTTTAAATGGCTTAATTCATTTAAGCCATTTAACTGGATGCAAAATGGAGACAGCAAAATGGGCTATGTGGCTGTGTTTTATGCTTAGGGACAAGCCCCCAAAGGCAGAAATAGCCATGTGTCTTGTGTTTAACACAAGGAGCCCAGGGACTGTGACCAAGAGAACTCCTAGGGTTCTCTCAGCTGAGCTCTGGTGGTTTCCTCCAGTAGGGGCTTGCCCACAGGGCCAAGCACATGGTCCTAGGAGCTGGTCTCTGCTTCCTTGTGTTGATGTGACATGAACCTTGGCAGGGGCCCACTGCAGATGGGGGCACTTGCCATGCGTATGTTTTGATTTTGTGGTGCCTGAATGGTAACTAGAGCTGCCTGTCAAGAAAATTAATAAAATGACTGTGATGCTGGTTCCTCGGTGTCGTTACCAGCAGGGAGAACTTCTGCCCAACTTTTCTCAAGACCCTGCAGGGCCTCACCTCCACAGCCAAGGACTTCCCCTCCAGCCGAGCTAATCCCATACTGCCAAGTTCCTATTGAGGAAGAGCCTGTGGGAAAGGCCAGGCTGGGCCCTGGTGTAACTGAAAACACATTTCCCTCCCTGGGTTATGTTACCATGTTATTTCTGTTCAGAGCTAACTTCCTCATGTTAAAAGGTAGCTCTCTGAACATAGCCTTTTAGCACTGAGGTGGTCTTTGGGTCGGAATTCTCCAAGGCCATATATCCAGTGACCTGGAAATAACAAATCTTCTCTCTATCTTTGTATGGATGTGTGTGTATATTGTTGTTGTTATGTGCCGTCGAGTCAGCCCTGACTCATAGCGACCCCTCCTTGGGTTTCCAAGGCAGTATCACTACGGAAGTAGATTGCCCAACCTTCCTTCCGAGGAGTGGCTGGTGGGTTTGAACCACCAGCCTTCTGGTTAGCCATCCAGTGCCTTAGGCACTATGCTACCAGAGCTCATGTGTGTGTATATAGATGTAATTTAAAATTAAAAATCACTCACTCACTGCCATCGAGTCATCCCACTTGTAGCGACCCCTCCTTGGCTTTCTGAGGCAATATCACTATGGAAATAGATAGCCCAAGAGGGATAGCATTTTGCTCCCCATTCTATATTATCACCTTTGAGTGGTTACCCTTCAAATTTCAGCTCCTCATCTCTTTTAGGTCATAATGATGCTCTCCTTGGCATGTTTTATATATTATCTCCCATTCCAGGGATCACAAAGCCCTCACTTACGTTTATTTTGTGGGGACGGGCAGGGTTAGAGATGGGAAGGGAGATTTATAAGTGGGTTTACAGAAATTGGTTCCTGCACCCAGAGTTCCATGGTCTATGATGGAGAACTTATCAACACTTCCATGGGACAAGCAGGCCTGTTAGGCTGGAGGGAAAAGGGACAAGCCTCTGGCAGTGCTCAGTCCTTTGAGAATACTTAGCATTCGGGGCAGCCAAAGGGGGGCATGAGCACACCCTCTCCCTGAACTGGGGCAGGTGTAGTGTCTGTTTCTTCGTTCTTCAGAATCCATTGTATTCTGCCGGTGTTCAAGAGAGAGGAAGAAGGACAAAGCTATAACAGGGATGATAACACAGGCAGAAGCAGAGTGACCCCACTAGGCTATTACTATACATGAGACCAAAAAGCCAAGATTGAAGCATGGGTGATAAAACTCAACAAGGAACACAAGGACTACTGACAAGTGGGTTTTACAACAGAGAACCAGCCCAAGGTCCCAGGAAATATGAGAGGGACACATGTTTATACCTTTAACAAAGCCCCTCTCAAAGACCCTGACCCTGATAACTCTAAAGACCATAACCCTAATAACCCTAATTCATTGCCCTTGAAAGTCTAGTTCTCATTTGGGATAAGTCATCTCTGAATTGATCTAAACTCTTTGGGAATCTATTTACGTTTTTAGTCCAAGTCTTTGTGGGGGATAATGAATTTCTTAGGTTTGCTACCTGATGTTAGAGATTTGGTTGGTTTTTGTCTTGGCTCTTATCCTTAGTTTTCTCCCCTGTTGCTTCAAAACATACCTTCTATAATTTCAGGTGTGCTGGGATTTATTTAACAAATCCATGCTAACCTTTAATCCAGTATCTTTATGTAAGAGTCTCACATTGGCCCTCAGGGGTCCACTGGCCCAGTGGCTGTTTCTATTGACAGGTTAAGCATTTTGTCCAGCAGTGCCTTGATTATGCCTTGAGTTCTTATGAGAATTATAGGTGACTCTCCTGGGCCCTGTGACTTATCTACATCTGCATTATCCACCAGGCCTGGAACATACCACTGTTTACCACTATCTGATCTACCACCAACCTGTCAGGTTCAAGTGAGTATCTTCCTAATGTCTTCTGAACAGACCAAGACAATGAACTCATTTAGCGTGTCAGCCCTTGCTTAATCTCTTTATAAGTGACCACACTTATTCTTTACTTGGCTTCTTCACTTGTGTGTAATTTAAGATCTATTGATTTTGTTTTGTTTTGTTTTAGAGTCTTTCCATGTAATACTTAACTTTCATTTCAGCATATCTGGTTTCAAGTTGGGGCCTGACCTGCCATCATTATAAAGTGTGCTATTACTATTAGTAGGATTAGCTTTCTTTGGACATGATAAATTGTGAGTGTGTATATGCGTGTTAAGAGGTGATTAAGTTTTAAAAATTTCTTTTCAGTCTCTATTAAGTCTTCCAGTTTAGCACATTCAGATACTTTCCCTAATTGCTAACTATTCTGACTATTTTAATTCTGCCAAACCAAAAACAAACGTACTACTATTGAGTTGATTCCAACTCATAGTGACCCCCATTGGGTTTCCAAGGATATAAATCTTTACGGAAGCAGACTGTCCCATCTTTCTTTCATGTAGCAGCTGGTAGGTTCGAAACACCAATCTTTGCAACCAAATGCCTTAATCACTACACCACCAGAGCTCCTTTTAACTCTTCCAGGCTGTCTACTTTATACATTCACACACACAGACACACACACACAGCTTGGAATATGGTATGCACTCCATAATTTTTTCTTAGTGTGATAAATTTGTTACCAAAATGGGAAATTTATGTGGTGCATTTTTTCTCCTATTCCATAAGATTTGGGATTTCTAGGCAAGCTATTAATAATAATTTCACCACAGTCTCCTCCATCACATTTTCTATTTCTGAATTGAGGACACACTAGGGAAATCAAACCATATTACTCAGATTGGATCTTGGCTAAGGTAGACTTTGCTGGACATGCAAACCATTTGTTCATTATTGCTGTTATTTAGTGAGATAAACTTTCAGCAATACATAGTCTTAACACTAACTGTAGCCCAGGGAATTATTTTAATAACTTGCACTTGGCTTATGTTTGTGCATGCTTGCATGCATGTGTACTTACACATGTGCATGCACACACCCATATATAACATTTATAAGTATTATGATGTAGGAGCTGGAAATATAGATCCAAAACCTTTAGTAATAGCTAAAATATGTTGTGCCAAGCACTTTACGTGCATTTAATTCTAATTTAA